GGTCCTGGCCGCCCTGGGATCCTGCCTGCCCCGGGCTGCTCGTTGCCCCGGGATGCTCGTTGCCTCGGGATGCTGCCTGCCCCGGGATGCTCATTACCTTGGGATGCTGCCTGCCTCGGGATGCTGCCTGCCTCGGGATGCCCGCTGCCCCGGCATGCTGCCTGACTTTTTGCTCGCTGCCCCGGGGTGCTGGCCGCCCTGGGATGCTGCCTGCCCCGGGGTGCTCGTTGCCCCGGGATGCTCGTTGCCTCGGGATGCTGCCTGCCCCGGGATGCTCATTACCTTGGGATGCTGCCTGCCTCGGGATGCTGCCTGCCTCGGGATGCTCACTGCACCCTGGGACAGAGCCTCCTAAAAGAGCACAGAGCTGAAGGGCCATCCTCTAGAAATAACACCATCCCTTTCCTTCATACGGTGAGGTCTTATTAAATACCTCGCGCTCGGTAGCTCTGGTGAAGGGTCGCTGACCTCGGGCGGGATGGCACCAAGGCTGCGGTTCCCCAGCCCGAGAGCACGGGGTGCCGCAGTCCTCGCTGGGCCTGGGGCAGCCTGGGCAGCTGGAGCGGCACCCGCGAGCCTGCTGACGGCGGGAAGTTTCCCTAAAAATGCAGCTGGTATTATTAGAGATATGTAAGCGCCAGCAGAGTTTGGGTACAAATAGCAATTTTTTTCTGCGTGAAATGTAACAGTGAGAAATGTTCCTCTTTCCACCAGTGCTGGTCAGTTGTTCCTGCGGGTTCCCTGTAAGACCCTGAGAACAGACACTTGCCTTGTGTGGAGCTTTTTCAGGGAGAAGTGGGGGCAAGGGCGTTGAAAGTTGATGAAAAACGAACTACAGAGCTTTTGTGCTTTACAAGTGATTTCAATTAAGAACTTGAGTTGACTGCTGTAAACAGCCGATGCCGTTATGGCGAATCCATAGGTAAACAAAATACACTGTCTGTAGCCCTTGGGTTTTCAGTTGAGATTTCGTAGAGATAAGTATGCATAAACATGCATGATCTCATACTCTGTGAACACCTTACGTACTGCCTCTACCTTGTACTCACCAGGGCAATGTCCTTTATATTTTCTCTGGCCTATGCCCAGCAATACTATTTTCCCTCATTGATGTGGAATCTGGAGATTTCTTTCTTCTTAAAAAAAAGGTTTTCTGTATATCTTTGCTCTAAGCTGGAGGTTATTTCTTATTATTTTTTCATATTTTACTCACAGTTTCTATGCTCTGCTGCACTCATAGGATGCTGCATAAATTGTCTAGCACTTACCTAAGTAAACCACTGATCAAAATTATTTGAAGTGAGACTATTTTTGTCTATTGACTCAAGTATTTTGGGTACAGTATTGCTGTCAGACAGCAAGCTGTCTGAAGGATGTTTACACAGTCACTGGGCAATTTCAGTTTATTGGAAGGCAGAGCATTTACTTGAAGAACCTTGGTGCTGTGATTGCTCATCCTTGCAGTTACTAATCGCCTACGGAAGGCACCGCATGAAGTGTCTTTGCGTAAAGCTGAGGCCCTGAAGCAAGGCTTACCATTTCAGTCTGAAGAACACCTGGATTTAAATAAAACAAGGTGTTAACATGCGTTTTGGCAATCTTATGTATTTCACTTAAAAACATGGAATGATCCTATCTCTTTATATAAAAACAGCCTGAAATAACTTTTTTTGTTGTTTTTGTATTAATATACATGTAGCAAAGACTATATTGCGCAATGTATCCCCATGGAAGTGCCCCTTCATCCAAGATAGCATGAAAAGCAGTCAGGATTTAAAGTTTTACTTTACGGTAGTTTGTTTCCAATATGGCATCAAGTTATTAAAATAGCTGCATCTCTGTGACAGGTCGGGAGTTATAGAAAGTGCTTGTTGGTGTATTCACTTCTGAAGTAGCTAATATATTCTCACTGCTCCTGTAGTTCTGCAGGGGAAAGGTAAAAAAGGAAATAGTTGTTAATGCTGGTTGCAAAATGTATGGGAAAATATTGAGCTTAGTTCAGGCTGACCTTGAATAATTTGTGTTAAAAGTTTGTATTCATAACTTCCAGTATGGGTGTGTGGGGTTTATCTAGTAAACATAGGTTTGCATTTGAACAGAATTTTTGAGCAGTCCTGTGGAGTTTAAAACATTTCAAAGCTGTTTTGTTTGGTTTTGTTGTTAACAGCGTGCTTACTCTGTGTGTCTGCAGCTTCATCTGTTAGGGCAGAGTTAAATAGTCATAAATAAGCTGTGTGGGATGGCTTTCCTTTTGGAAAGCAGTCTAAAGAAATTGTAAGATTGCTAGTTCCCAAGGTCCTAGCCAAAATTTTATGAGTTATACTCAGGTCTGGAAATCTTGAGACTGTGTTAGTCATACGGGATGAGATCAATTTACTTGGATTTGGGGTCATCTGTACAAAGTCTGAGCACAGACCTGCTGAAGAGCACACGAGGGTCCTCATGGGGTACATAAATGGGGCTGCTCCATCCAAAAGAAGGTGCAGGATTTTGGGAGCGTGTGGGCTGTGCTGGAGCGTGGCATGCAAACCACATCTTGGGGAGAAACAGCATGAGGGGTACTGATGGTTTGTTCTTGTTGTCCTTCACAGTAAGAGTTTTGGTTCTGGGCTTGCAGGGGGTCTTTGGGGGTAAAGGGAACAAATATTTATTTTTCTAAAGCACAGAGTTGTCCAGTTTTGAAGCACAGAGTTTTAAAGCACCCATAATTCTGCCATTCCCCTAGCTCTTGTGCCCGTCTTTAGGGAGAACCATCTAAAAATCAGCTGCTGCCTACAACAGGGTCTCGAGAGTCACAACTTAGCAGTGTTAGCAGAGAATGTTAATTAGAAAGGTCCCATGAGATAAGCATTCTGGATTTTCTGAAGTTGTAAAATAGTAAAATACAAATATCTGTAAATGATTTTCCCACTTTTTAGGAACTGGTAAAAGGTATTCATTTCTCTATAGGGAGCAAAATGGTATTTACATGGATTGTGCCCGCAGCAATTTGGTTGTTAGTGCACTTCACAGCAGGTAAGAATTTTTTTCCTACATAGCAATTATCACTTAAAAGAAGCACTCAGGCTAATTAGGGTTTTTTTTCAGCTTCTGTGTGGTATACTAGTAAACATCTTTCTTATTAGCGAGAGCAAAAATTGATGCTTGATTAGGTTTATACTGTAATTTCCTTAAGAACTCCTTGATCTGCTGCTACTGCTGAGTGTCCTCCCACTCTCCCTGGCAATGCACTTTGTCCCTGACGGTCTGGGCAGGCTGTGGGCAGCAGTGTCTGGTCTGGCAGGGCTCCGCGTGCTGGCTGCACGGCTGGGAGTGACCGCGGGCAGGGGTACGGCCTCGGCTCTCAGCAAAAGAGGCAAATATAGAATCTTATATGCTCAGGCACTGGCAGCTTGGACATGTGTTTACGCATAATTGGTGCTGCAAGCCTGTTTCATTTGTGTATGTAGTATATAGCAAATAGTTGCTAATAAGTTATGGAGGGAGGTTACTTGGTTTAGTTCAAGGTAGAGCTGCTGGTTATATGAGAAAGCATCTCTACAATTAGCTTCCACAAAGACTTTCAGAACTCAAAAGTAAGGAGAAATGGTGCTCCAGCATTTTCCCTTATTTTCTGCTGCTGCTCGGCTTGTTTGCCCCCAGCGCAAGTGTCCTGGAATCTGCCAGCGAGTGCGTGCTCTTGTACGCTGAGCACAGGATTGCCTGTCCCCATCTGCATCCTGTGTCACTTTGAAAAGGCAATACCATGCAAGGGGAGGTCTCTACGAGTCAGAGAAAACGTTGCTTGTCTCTTCAGTAGAGACATGCCTGCCACCGCTTTACTGAAACGAAGATATTTCCTTAAACCACAACGAAAAAAGAGTTCTGATAGGTTTTGCCTGGGGTTGTGCTTTTTCACTTGATGTCTGGTAACTAGCCCTTGGTTTTTGATCCCCAATTAATTGGACGGATGAAGACTGGGCACAGCAATATCCCATGAGTTACCATGCAGAAGCAGGAATTCCTGCATTATAAATTTGGGGAGCCTCTCTTCTTCAAGCACAGCATGTTGTACAAGTTAAGTGATGTAGCCGTGTTAAAGGTTTGTTTTCCCATTCTGTTGCAGAAGGATGCAGTAAAGGGAACACGACTGCTAGCAAACTTCCCCATGGCGCTGCAGAAATATGTGACAAAGGCAATATGACTGCTAACACTGCTTCTCATGTCCAGCCTGGAACCAGTATCACCCTCTCGTGCCAGCTGAAACCCCTGCGATACACTGAGCAGTGCAGGATAGCTATTTTCTTTAACAGCTCTGAACTAATTAGCAATTACGGCAGTTCAGTAAGCACCAAGTTTCTAGTCCATACATATGGCAAACACATGTTTACGTGCAAAATAGTTTGTGAATACAAGAAAAAACTCATTTGTGGAATCGATATAGAATCTGGAAGTAAGGAGAATTTAATTATTCCTTGTTCTTCAACATTTCCTGTGGTACCTCTGAGACATGTTAGAAACTAGCAGTGGGTGGCCTTTTCCAGAAAAGGTGCCGTCTTTTAGTGGCTCTTTGTATTTAAAATATTCCTGGATGGGACTGTGCAACTCCATTATTGATAAACTGAGAGATGCTAAATAAATCTGCCTGCTGAGAGCAAATATCATACGCCCTCCTGTTCTACCCCTAACACCCACCAGTCTCTCCAGGACACAAGGGACTTGCAAGAAAAATTCTAAGGAAATTTTAGATTTTCTTCTAGCCTGATGAGCTGCTGCTGCAGCAGTTGTCTGCTATATCAGTGCTACTTTTTTAAAAAAAAATAAGAATAATGGTTGATTGCTTCAAGCAAAGCTTGTGGTGCCCAGTCCAGAGAGCTGTTAAGCACTTGTATTCCTCTAGCACCCTGGTAAAGTCACTGGGGTTTCACTCAAGTGTCAGAGGTCTCAACAGGCTGCAGAGATCATAGACTCAGCTATTTTCACATACAAAAATTATCAGCCTGAATATTTTGCACTTACTTGTCCATAGACTCTTTAAAAAAAAAATCAACACAAACCTAGCATTTCTTAAAATGTCTCCTATCAATATCTTTAAGGAAGACTCTGATAAGTGTATCTGTTTAAGATCCTCCAGATGAGCCAAGAAATGTGTCGTGTATCCAGTATGGGACAGATGGCCATCCCACCTGCACGTGGGATAAAGGAAGGCTCACATACATCAACACTACATATGTAATACAGTAAGTAACGCAGGGATGTAGGCTCTTTAATACCTATAATTGTATCTTAGAGGGTTTTTTTATTTTTACACCATTTATTGAAGATTTACCCTTATCAAAGCACATGAAAAGGTGTTTTATGAATAAGCCAATCCACGGCTGCTGTGATCACAGAAGCAAACTCCAGCAGTTAAAACCCCTTTTCTGTTCACATCTGTGTGTGCTGCACTGCAGCAGTTTGGCTCCTTCTGGGTTCAGCAGGTGAAGAGGGTATGCCAAGACATGGCTCCCTTTTGGAAACCGG